ATATCAATTATGTAAGGCTTGTCTAATCCTATAGTTGATAATAAACATTATTAAAGTAATTGACTAAATTATTTTGCACTTGAATGAAATATTCATAGAGAAAAGACACATTATATTACATTTTTATGAAGGTCAAGAACAGGAAAACCTATTATAATAAATATTTAAAAGATTTGGATTTGATAGAACAATGGAAAGAGGTATTAGAGAATATTAGAGAACCTTCTATAACATAAATATTTTATATCTTAATAGGTGATAATTATATGAAAGCATCATATGTAAAACTGTCAATCTCAGTAAGATCTGTGTACTTCATTATATGTATATGATATGTCATATATAAATACATATACATATCACTTCAGCAAAATTATATGGTTTTGTATTTTAAATGTCATATTCACCATTTATTGCTGGTATAGAGAAAAGCAGTGGATTTATGTGTTTGTGTTTATGCAGATGCACACATGGAGGTCAGAGGTCAGTCTCTGATGTTCCTCAGGCCTTTTGTTTGAAACAGTCCATTTTTGCCCTGGAACTGCAATGTAGGCCAGGCTAACTGGCTCCAAGCTTCCAGGGATCTACCTACTTCTGCCTCCCATATAGTTGTCACTAGGATTACAGGTGCATACCAGCACACCTGGCTTTTGCCATGGGTTCTAGGAATTCTGACTCAGATCCTCATGCTTGCAAAGCAAGTGCTTTACCCATTAAGCCATCATCCACAACCGAATGGACTTGTATATACTGAAACATCTGTGAACAAAAATAATCTTATTTCTTCATTCCCAATCTGTTTTTTATTTCCTTATCTATTTTCAAAGCTAAGCCTTCCAGTGCAATGTGAGATGGAATGCCAAGTTAAGACATCTAGGACTTAGTCCTGAAATTAGTGGGAAGTAGTCCAGTTTCTCACCATTAAATATGATGTTAGCTATAGGGGTTTGTAGTTTGGGTTTTTTTGTTTGTTTGCTTGCTTTTCAGTCTTTTTGCAACAGGGTCTCCTTGTAGCCCCAGCTGGCCTGGAACTCACTATGTAGACCAGGCTGGCCTTGAACTCACAGAGATCTGCCTCCTGAGTGCTGGGATTAAAGGCTTTTTTAAAAAAATCAAGTTGAGACTGTTACTCTCCTAGATTACTGAGAATTTTTATCACGAGTGGGCTTTGGATGTTTCTAAAGTACTGTTCTGAATTTATTGATACAATTGTGATTTCTTTTTCATTTAAGATTTTAATATGACAGATTACATTGATTTTTTAGGTCAACTTTGCCTACCTGGGTTAAATCCTATTTGGTTTAAGTATACTTGTTTACACATTGTTGAATTCAATGTATCAGTTTTGTTGAGGATTTTTACATCTATATTCATTAGAAATATTTATCTCTAGTTCCCTTTTCTTATAATATCTTTGTATGGTTTTGGTAATAGGTTAATGCTAGCCTTGTGGAACAAGTTAGAGAATATTACTTGTGTTTCTATCTGCTGAAAGAGATTGTAGAGAATTGATACCATTTCTTCCTTAAATATTTGGTATAACTCATCGTTGGACCTATTTGAGCCCAATACCTTCTGTTTTAGAAGTGTATTCGTTATTGATTCAGCTTCCTTAAGAGATGTAACCTTCATGACTTCATTCATTTCCTGTTGTGTGCATTTGTATCATTTAAGGATTGGTCTAGTTTATGTAAATTGTCAAATTTCTTTGGGCTCTTGGGTATAACTGATATTCATGCAGTTTTAAAGATCAGTGAAAATAATTCAACATTTGACTCTAAGAAGATGACACAAAGAGCCTACATAATTATCCACTAAAAGTGCTGAAGAGTTTACAGAAATGGCACTTATCTGAACTATTAACTCATAAAAGCAAATAACTATAAGTTTATATTGCAGTATGGTTATTTTGTAAGGAGGGATTATGTGATTTATTTTTGACTCTTTATCTCTCCAACATAGATTAATTGATCCAAAGTGAAAATTTTAGGCCAATACATATTAAAAATGTTTTTATGAAGTCTGAATAAGAAAATGGTCAGTATAAATATGTGGATGTATATAGATGTGTTTTCTTGTATTAACTATCAGTGAACTAAATTTGGAGATTTCTTGATAAATGTTTTCAGAAAAACATTCACAGAAAGGGCTGGAGAGATGGCTCAGTGGTTAAGAACACTGGTTGGTCTTGCAGAAGACCTGGGTTCAAATCCCAGAACCCACATGGCAACTAACAGCTGTTTGTAACTCCAGCTTCAGGGGATCCGACAGCCTCTTCTGTCCTCCACGGGCATTGCACGACATGGGTGCACTTACCTACATGCAGGCAATACACACATACACATAAAATAAAAATAATAAACTATGAAAAAAATTTATAAAAAAAAATTCACAGAAAATTTTCAAGAATAGTATTAGTCATGAGAAAGATAGTCATTATAAACTTCATTACATAAAGCTTAGATTTGATTTTGGAAGTAAGAGGTCTAGGCTATATAGGGGGAAAATATTTTTCAGGGTTGCAGTGGTAATTTTGTAGTTACATATTATA